CTTATGTCCCGCTTTCTTTTTATTTTATTCTCCATGGATGTTTACACTAGTTTTGTAAAAGTTAAGAGCTATATTGTGTGCCAAGGATGTGAAAAAGGGAACATGCAAATGTTACAAAGTATTTATGTGACTGAATAAATTATTTTAAAACTGTAGTTTTAATTTGGCTGTGAAACTTTAGTTTTTCTTCAGTAAAGAAAATGAAGCTTTTAAAAAGGTTAGTTCACTTCCCACTTCATTTTGTGGCATATGGACTTTTATTTTGATTCAAGAAGCATTTTCTTTCAAACTGGGTAACAAAGCTAGGATTTTTCAAGATTTTGCATGTGTCTCACTTTGTATGGTATTTCCACACAGGTTTCAGGATCCTAAAAAAAAAAAAAAAGCAAACAAAAATCCCCCCAAACTGTAGAATGCAGTCCGTCCATTTTTATTTTAAACAAATTTAAAAAATGCTAACATAATGTCCTAACGATACATCTGAAATAGGTAATTACCTTCTGCACAATTCAGTTAACATTTCTTTCAAAACACTGAAGTAAATATAAAAATATCTTGATATTTTAATTGCTAAACTTCTGTGTTGGTTTCTACAACGGTGTTCAGCAAACAACTTCTGAGTTGTACATTCTTTTGTCTTAACTTGTGTGCTGCTTTAGAAGCCTTCCACCCCGTAAGGTAGATGTAAAGATATCTTGGGTAGCTCTTTGAGTAAGGCCTTAAGAATAAAGTAGGGTGGATAAGAGATGAGGTAATTAAAATATATGCTAACACATAAAAGGATGGAAGAAAATCGCATGAGTAAGCTTAACTTGGACAATTCCAGGTGCTCTAATAGGTGTTTTCTGTATACACATCACTTCTAAAGAAGGTTTACAGGCACACAGTGTTACTTTTAGAAATGTCTTATATTGTTAAAAATGAACAAAAAATCTTATTTCATTTGAAAATTTCTCATCCCTTTCCAGGGGGCTTAGTTCTCAGCTTCTACCTTTTTTCCTGTTACTTACTTTTCTTCCTTGCTGTTTAGAAGCAGGCTTTGTGTACTTAATTATGAAGATCTCACTGAAATCTTGTTCTGTTCCTGAATTGTGGAGTGGGCTTTAGTGCAAACGTACAGTAGAAGCTTCATACTCCAAACTTCTCATATTTGACTACAGGAGGGCTTTGGGTTTTTACTGTCGCTACTTGCACTCTTAATTCCCGATTTATTCAAACATTTGTTGCCTAGTAGTGTATATATAAGGGAGTTTTGGGTTTTTTCCCATGCTTATGGCTGGGAGCAAGTGACGATGAGACTTAGAAAAATACCTGTGCTCCTACTAAATTCTGCTATAATGAACCATTTTCTGTTCCTAAACGGGAGCATGAGTGGGCATCATCAGTGCATTTGGTCAGGGTTTGGGGAAGTTTCACATTCATCTTGCAGATTGTTTGTTTTCCTATGTGCTATCGCTAATGAGAATGATTGAAGTTTTGTACAGTGCATGCGCAAGCCTTAATCCATGAAAATAGCAGCTTACATTACAGATTACAATACTGAAATGGAACCAGAGGTAAAAATATTTTGCAAATAATACTGTCATCTTTTCAAACAAGTCTTGTAGGGTTGATGCTACAAAGTATCTTTTTTTTAATCCCAAACAGCTGCTGTTTCCAAGTGTTGAGATTTCTCAAGGTGGCTACATGCTACTCCTGCAGTATCCCCTAGCCTCTTGTGCCAGTTTTGTTTTCTCTAGTGTAGAAGTGTTACTTGCTGCTGAAATGTTAAAAAGAACAGGAAAAAAACGTTCAGCTAACCAGAAAGATTAAATGTTTAGAAGTGGATTTGTAAAATTTATACGGTCTAAAAAAAAGCCTTTGGTCATTGTTATGTGCTAACTTGAGCACTTCAATTCTCTGTCCCTTGCATGGAGAAACTTAAGGGGGTAGAGGCTTAGAAGCAAAGAAGGATGAATTGAGACTTTGCATTTAGAGAGATGACTGGGAGAAACAGATGCTATTGATTTCCTCCCCTCTCCCCTTTTCTGTCTAATGTCTTTTGATCATCAAGGGCAACTAAATCTGTAAAAAAACTTCTGAAAAATCATAAAAATGTAGCTTGGCCTATCTGAGATTGTATGAGCTACGTTTTTTTAAGATGATGCTTCATATTATTTATGGATGAGGTGTAGTGTGCCTGAGCACTCAAACATCGATGGTCTGTATAAAGAATGCGTGTGGGTAAATGTTCTGCTGCTTTTAAAGCTACTACCGCTTGTCTTTCTGTTTCTGTAACATTTTATTATACTTTCACTGAACATTAGTAAAAGTGACTTTCCTCCCTTGCAACCCCCTTCTCCTTTCTTAAAATTTCAGTTGCTGAAGGGCACAATAAACACTGCGATGTTGTTTTACTTTTGTTGCTTCGCAGTTTGATGATGATGATGACCACAGTGATGTGTGGAATTAATTTTCACGGCATTTCTTGAACAGTGACAATCTCATTTGTTAATGTATCTCATCATTGCAGTATTATTATTTTGCATAATTGTTCTATCTAATTTATTCAAGGGGCCTGACATGTTATGGTCTTTTAAGTATGTGCCTCTAGGACTTGAGGTTGTTGCCATATGGTGAGATAGTGCTGCATGACAACCTTTCAGCAACTGAAAAATTCAACAGCGAAAAAAAAATGTGATAATTGTAAGTGTTCAGTGAAATCTTACCCTTACCACTTTGACTTGTGTTTTTCCCCATGATGCCAAGATGACTGCGGCTTGTAGACAAGCCAGGCTGAAACAGATGTTGGAAGTATTGCATCGGATATGTTAGAAATGTGCTGGTGATTTTTAGTCGTCTTTGTATGCGTAACTTCATTTTCAAGTGAGAGTTGAGTTTGACTTCAGAAGTCTCTTGGGGCAGTTCTTGCACTGAGACTTACAACTGAGCAACAGTGATTTATATAAAAATCCAGGTTTAATATGACATTAAGAGAAGAGTGAGTAGGAATGAGAAATTTGAGAAGATCTGTGTTACACTGAATAAAAAAAACTAGTTCAGTTTAGACCTGGGTTCCAAGAAAATCTGACTGTTCAGATGGAACTGGAGTGTAGGCTTTTCAGCAGCAAAACAGTAAAGAATTTTTTAATGATAGTTTAAATGCATAATATGCTTTTTGTGGAGTTCCTTTTGTGTCATCGGTGATTTACCTGTCAGGCTGGCATCCCGGTTTTCCACGCAGAAAGCAAGTTAGGAGGTATCACTTCTGGTTAACAACTGAAACAGTCCAATCAAGCAAGTTTGGTTACCTTTCTTCACTGCCCACCCACAGTAAGTACTTGCTTTTGAGAGGTTTGCACCTATTGAATTGCCAGAGATTCCTCGGGTAGAATGCATACCAATTGGACAGCGAAGTTCCCTAGCCAGCGTCTTAGCCGTTTGCCTGTAAGAGGTGATATTGTCTTTTTAATCTTTTTTTTTTTTTATTTTATCTTTTAATCCTTCTCCGTAGCCTACCCCACCCTCTTCAAATTATTTTTAAATGGAAGTAGCCCTTCTCCCAGGAATTTCTTTCTATCATCTGAATCTTTGGAAGAACAGAGGCCTACAAAATGGGGAAACTTATTTTTTGTAAAGTACGTCTTAAAATTCCCTGTAGGTGTTACAGCTCATTGAAGTATCTTGATAAAATAATTCTTCAACTTCTTCTTTCTTTCTCACACATATGTACACACATTTATTTCAATTATAATTACAGCTGATGGGAGAGTAATCTAGACGCTTCAGCGTGGGTGTGGATTCTGGGTTATTAGCAGGGACTCTTAACTGAGGTTTAAGATGGACATGAGTACTTCGTAATTCAGATAAGGCACTCATTTATATTAACTATTTTATATGAAAACATGACTAAGAAGTGTTAACGTGGTGTTGTCCATGAAATAAAATACACCCAAGTAACGTGACAGATGAAGAGAGCTGTAGAACTTGGGCATCTTTATTCTTCCTTTTGGTTAAAAAGCAATAGATGATCAAAACTCTGCTCCTCAGTGCTGTGGATTTGGAAGAGATGAGGAGAAAATACTTAAAAAGAGATTAGCTGAGAGAGAAGAAAATAAAGGAATAGATACACCTATAAAATAATTATCAAAAAATCCAGTGTGAGCTCTTCTATTCAGAGGTCTGGTTCGTATTCTTTCTGACCTGCTAGCATCTTCTGTTTGCATCTCTGCAGGTGAGTTATGGTTTGTCTGCTACATGAATGCTGAAGTTGGGAATAGAGATATTATCATGATTTTTCTCCAAGTAAATTTGCCTTGGTATGACCATATATTGATTTTATAATTGTATGTGCATACAGAGCCTTGTATGTAATTTTTTAATCTCTTTTTTTTTATTTATTTTTGCCTAGGAAGGGGGATCTGCAGGCCTATTTGAGGGGTTTTTTTCTTTGAGTTTTCAATTTTATCATTTCTTTTAATCTTCGGTGTGTTTCACGGTCTTTAACTTCAAAGTGTAATTGCAATGATGCAGCTGCTTAATGGATTAATACATTTAATATTTTCCCCCTAAGAGCGGTATGTCTTCTTTGCATCTATAATTGGATCGCGCTGCTGCTGTCCCTAATGGAAACGCCAGGTTTCATATTCGCCATACACCTGAGCACATGCTTGCTCACTCGACAATCGTAATTTTTCTTCTGGATATATCAAAACCGAATTGTGTTTCGCACATTTTTTATGCGTGAATTTTATTGTAAGAGCTGTACGAGGGGAGATGCCATCGTGCACCTCTGCTGCACTGAGCTTTTGGATTCAGGCTGGGTCTTTGTATTCCACCGCTGCATGTTTGGGATATTAGATTTACAGTACTTCAGAGCCCAGCTCCAGGGCGGCATATACAGATATCACAGATTTGGGGGGTGGGAATTGATTTTATAGCAAGGGTTACTTGTTGCTGCTCCATGCATGTTCCTGCAGGCGTGACCTTTATTTTCCGTGCTGGTAGTGACTACGGCCACCATGGTTGCTGCCAAACGCTGCGCATCCCATCCCTCACTCCGCGGGCAGGCGGGAGGGGAGTAATTTTTCATCGTTGTTGCATCTGAAGGATTCCCCCTTCCCCTGCCACGTTACCTTGGCCCCTTTAGGAAGATTTTCATCTATTAAACTTTACCTTCTCTGTTGGAAGAACTAAATCTCTTTCAGCGTTTCCAGGCTGGTGATCTAATTTGACAGCTCGTCGGTGATGTCTATTCCACTTCAAAGAGGCAGGTAGCCTGGGGCTAGCCAGCTGCATTGTGGATTCTGCAGATTTGGCTTGCCGTTCCTGCTGGGTGTCATCTGTCGTCTTAGTCTTGCGGTGGATAATTTTTGTCCTCCCTAGCATCATCTGCCTGAGCAGTTTCTGCCTGGCAGGCCTGTCCGTCCAAGTTGAGCATCAAATACAGTAGCCGCACGGCTAATCTGACAAGGCACTCCTCCAAACAGCGCAGCCCCAGGCCTGCTTTGGCCAGCGTCGGCATGGCGGCCCACAAACTTCCAGCCATCATGATGGCGGTCGCAGTCTCCCATCACGGGTGCAGTCCATGGACTTATTCTGCTGGCGCAAAGTATGTCCCCCGCCTCGCCCTCTTAAGGGCCGTCGCTCCGATTCCCCCCATCTCGGCAGACGTCTGCCTCAACAGGTTTGGGTTTCCCTGCCTGTTGCCGGCGTTTGACTCGGACACCGCCACTTGGATGAAACAATCCTTTAGTGGATTATTGTCGCCAGACAGCCTGTGGGGGAAATGACAGGACGCGGCACGTTCATCTGAAGATTTTGCAATTCGGAGTGCCGCTAACGCTAATGGGAAGTGGCAGGGTGATCCCTAAAAGAGAAAGCGGGTTCCATTGCATGGCAAAAGTGACAGAGGTTGTTTAGCCTATGTTCCCAAAAAATACATGATGACTACATATGTTGATTTTCATGCTCCGAGCCATAGCTATTTCCATATTTTTGTGACTTGATGAGTACTTCCTACAAGCTGACAGGTTAGGGGTTCCACAAGTATTGTCTTTTTATAGCCATCACCTCTTTAAGTCCTCCTTAATTTTTTGAAATATGTTTTGAGAATAAGCTTGACAGGGCAGTGAGAGTAAGCAGGGCAAAAAACCCCAAAACAAACAAAAAAAACCAACCAGGCATAAATGCAGCAAATAAAGCATATTCTTTAAAACAAAACAAAACAAAACAAAACAAAAAAACGGTATTCAAACAAAGAGGAGAAATGGTTTCAGGACAGAAGTCCTAGAAACCGATGCACTTATCTGTCACAGGATTTGCCCTTGTTGCAGTCCCATAATTCCAAACCTGACATTACTCATGATGTAAAAAATCTTTCCTAGAAATGCAGTAGTTATAAACCCCCTTCACTACAGGATTTCCTCCTTAGCAAATAAAAAGATAGCTGGAGCATAGGGCTTAGAGGGGAAAATAACTTGTCTGAGAGACTAGGAAAGGATGGCAGCTAGGCTGGAAGGGGATAAAATTAACATTTGAAAATTCTGCCCCTAATTATTAGTGATCATCAAGCCAGCTGGAATATCTTCCAGATATTAATATAGGAGTACTAATGTCATTTATTGTCAAGTGCTTACGTGCTTTAGATCCAAGTGGAAAAATGTAAATACTAATCTATAGGTTGCAAGAGACGGTCACTTTGGGGGAAAAAAAGATACGTGAAAGGGGACAGTATTTTTTTCTCTGCTAATTATTGCTTATTTAACATAATATTCGCAGGCTATGGAGCAGTGAAGGAGTGAAAAACTACTTTAGATTATGTTTATGCTGAATTTAATAACATTTGTTGAAATATTCCACACTTCCCAATGTAAGAATCATCTATTATTTATTCAAATTTCAGCCATATTTTGACTGATTTGGGGGGAGAATGTTTCAACAAAACTAATTCACTCATTTTCAAGGCTGAATTTATAAGATTACATGTGTTGTCAAAAAATATAGTGATTTCAGTGAGCAGTTTCTGAGTTTTGATGGTGGGACACAATTTAATAATAGGATCATTTTTTTATGTCTGTTGTAATAGCTTCATACAATAAAAAAGTACTTTTTTTTTTTCTCAGCCAGGCAATTGCTCCTACTTATAAAAGCTATGCAGAATAGAACACTGGTAGAACTAATTTCTAACAAAAGAAATACTATTACTCCTGTTCTCTACTAATAAAATAGTAATTGTTCCAGCTAAACTGGCTCCTTCCAGGTAATCCAGGACAGGACACTGTAGGTTGCAGCAGCTTTAGCTGAATTTGTGGTCCAGTTCTTCTTTAATTTACCACAAAAAGACACTGAGCAGTGTGGTACGTACAGCAAGGAAAAAGGATGTGTTAAAAAAACAAAACAAAACAAAACAAACAAACAAAAAACCCCCCACCAAACTATAGACGCAGTGACCTAAACAAGGATCAAGCTGTTCTAAAAGTTATTGAGCATATATAGCATTAAAAAAAGAAAATCCTGGAAGAAAGTTAATATACTGCAGTTTATTAGAGGGGAAGTATATTGAAAATATCCTGACACTCTCAAATGATTCAAAAAGAAATGTATAAGAATTTTAAGTCTTTTTTGTTTCATAGTTACAAAATAGACTGACACTGCTGTGCTGGTCACACAGTGAAGCTGGGTTGCATGTCTGAGGTCACTCCTTATCTTCTCAGGCCACTAAGGCAGGGTGTTCAGCTCCACAGCCTGAGGAAAGCACCACCTCCATGCCACCATCTCTGGCCTGTGGTCATGGCGATGGCAGAGATTGTTAGTGCCTGTACATAAATACAGGAGGAGATCAGCATGGGGGGGATATGCCCCACTGCAGTGAATCGGTGATCCCTGAAGTGGGCAGGGTCAGGCAGAAGCATGCTGGGTGTGACATGTAAATGCTGCCTTTGCTTGAGGTCCTGGTACCGTGCAGGAGTCCTGTCGAATTGCTGGCCAGCACTGTCATGTGTAAATGCCTCCAAGGCACAGGCCACACAACGATGTTGGGAGCGCTCAGGCAAAAGTGAGACCTCAAAGAGCACGGCTCTGGAGTAAGACATCAGCACAGCCTGTCTGTGATGGGGCGGATCCTAAAGGAGGGAATACTGTGAGGCTTTGGGGTTGAATAAGTCATACTTGGCAACCATGCACCTTCAAGGAGCTCTGGGCATCTGGAAGCCACATCTTCAGGGGGCGCTGGGTCTTTGATGATGGTGGTGTGATACAAAAGGAGTTTGCCCAGTGTCCTGGCCCAGACAGTCACTGAGTCGTAGCTGCTCTGAGTTAGTCCGGGTCAGTACAGCCTCCTGGGCAGAGCAGAGGGTCAAGGTTCAGGAGAACTGGGCTTGGGTCTTCTGTTTGACTTCTGCAAGCCATGTCTCCCTGTCACTCCTGTCTCCCCATGGCTGACAATGAAACCTCTCTTTAAAGTATTTCAGCCCATGTCCATGCTACAAAGGACCCAGCTGCTGCTCATACTGTACCCTCACTGCCTCCTGCCCAGCAGTTCCTGACACCACTGGAGTCTCATCCCACCTCCATACTGCCCGTTATGGATTCCCCATACGTAAAAACCATGGCCCAGGCTATGTCCTTTTGTCCTACACCACCAAGCCCTGCAGTCTTGCATCAGGAAAATCCATATGCTAAGCTTTTATCTGGGGTACCCAGCATGTGTCAGAGGGTCAACATAACCTTGTTGCCTCTTTATCTGGTTCCAGAGACATCCCTTCATCCTGATGTATGAGGAACGCACAGTGGATGTTGCATGTTATATTTGTAAAACCCCGGATCAAATGCCAGCAACTCCCAGCCCTCCAATGTACGTTGACTGATACCGCTGCTACATCAAACTCTAGAAAAAGAGCTGAGAGAAAACATGCTCTTAATTTTTGTAGAGCACAGCACGACAGTTGCTGTCCAACTTTGCAACACCCAGAAGCAAATTGATTCATCTGAATGCTTATCTCTTCTTCTGAAACAAAATCCAAGAAACGAGTCCTGGGGATTACTTTCTTTTTCTTTTTCTTTTTCTTTTTCTTTTTCTTTTTCTTTTTCTTTTTCTTTTTCTTTTTCTGGTGGGCTTTCGTTTGTTTGGTTTGTTCAGTTTTTCCCAGAAATGCCGGGCGCCGGGCCCAGAGGAAGCCGTTCACGGGCTTCTAAGGCGCCCCTGTCGCACGTACCGGGAGGGAGCAGCC